GATTTCTCACACGTGTCACACAGAATGTTAATGAACCAGCACTATAGCGTATAAACATGTACATCCATCCTATCTCTGATGCTCTCGTGTTTGTCGTCATGATCTGTTCTTGCTCCTTCCTCTTCCTCCTCGTTTCCCTCTTCCTCTCGTTTGCCGCTCGAACGCAGAACGAGCTGTAACCATAGCAACGCCCATCCCACCTTCAGCATCATCCTCTGAGCTGGAGCTGCCGGACTCCGCCCCCCTCGATGACATCATGGGCGTGACTCCGCCCACGTCTCCGCCCCTCATCTCGTGACCCGCTGACTCCATGAAGCCTCCAGCTGACGAACTCCCGGCCATCTCTTCATCCTCCTCTTCTCTCTCTTCTTCCTCTTCTTCTTCATCTCTCTCTTTTCTCTTCAGGCATGTGACGGCTCTGCGCAGACGCTGGCTTCGGATCAACTGCTTCTCCTGCTGCTCCAGACGGAAGAACGAGTCGATGCGCAGCTGCGTCTGCACACACACACACACACTCATAATACACACCGAACACACACTAATGTTTCTGAAAGAGTCTCTTCTGCTCACCAAGGCTGCATTTATTTAATTAAAATACAGTAAAAACAGTGAAATATTATTATAATTTAAATCAGCTGTTGTCTATGTGAATATACAGTAAAGTGTAATTTATTCCTGTGATCAAAGCTGTATGTTCAGCATCATTACTCCAGTCTTCAGTGTCACATGATCCTTCAGAAATCACTCTAATATGAGGATCTGATGCTCAAGACACATTTATGATAACAGTTATTTACATTTTATTTCAGAATTCTTTGATGAATAGAAAGTTCAAAAGAACAGCATTTATCTGAAGTCGAAAGCTTTTGTAACATTAAACACTAGCGTTCAAAAGTTTGGAGTCAGTAAGAATTTTTAGTTTATTTTTTGGGGGAAATAAATAACAGAAATCAATACTTTTATTCATCAAGGATTAATTAAATTGTTCAAAAGTGACAGTAAAGACATTTTTAATGTTACAAAAGATTCTATTTCAAATAAACGCTGTTCTTTTGAACTTTCTATTTATCAAAGAATCCTGAAAGAAACTGTTTTCAACACTGATAATAATCATAAATGTGTCTTGAGCATCAGATCCTCATATTAGAGTGATTTCTGAAGGATCATGTGACACTGAAGACTGGAGTAATGGAATAAATGATCACAGGAATAAATTACACTTTACTGTATATTCACATAGAAAACAGCTGATTTACACTGGAATAATATTTCACTGTTTCACAGTATTTCCCTGTAGTGTAGTGCTCGTCAGTGGCTGACCTGCTGAGACTGCAGCTGCTTCAGCACCGGCTGCAGAGTGTCCTCAGTCCTCCTGCTGGTCCAGCCGAAGCGGCTCCGGCAGAACGTCACACTGGCTAAGGACATATTCTGCTGCCTTGACAAATGAGTCTATTTCACTATTTTTGTCTAATAAATCGAATGCAGACATGCATAACATAACGTGTGTTAAAATGCAACTATCACACTGTGAATAGCATGAAGGATATTCTTTGATGAGCTCCAGGTGTGGGCGGCCCCAGCTGAACGAGGCGTCTGATTGGTCGACGCTGGGATGCAGGTACGCCTGAGCCACGGAAGGGTTGGGAAAACCCGGATGAAGATGAAGATTCCTCAGTTTCTTCTTGACTTTTGTGTCTTTGGGATTGGCAGCCATTTTCTTATTCTCCTGAGCCTCAGCCCACCATTCACTACATCAGCCAGAAAACACACACACACACACACGATGAGACACATATTTAATGATATTTGACATAAGAAATACGAAATTATAAAAAAAAGCACAATCTTCCTATATAAAAAAGTTATTTTTGCAAAGTCTTCAACTTAAATGCTTCTGATTGGCCGTTCCATTCATATGCTCAACTGTGATTGGCAGTTGAGCAGTTGTGTTTGATACGCAGGTGTGTGTTTGATACGCAGGTGTGTGTTTGATACGCAGGTGTGTGTTTGATACGCAGGTGTGTGTTTGATACGCAGGTGTGTGTTTGATACGCAGGTGTGTGTTTGATACGCAGGTGTGTGTTTGATACGCAGGTGTGTGTTTGATACGCAGGTGTGTGTTTGATACGCAGGTGTGTGTTTGATACGCAGGTGTGTGTTTGATACGCAGGTGTGTGTTTGATTCGCAGGTGTGTGTTTGATACGCAGGTGTGTGTTTGATACGCAGGTGTGTGTTTGATACGCAGGTGTGTGTTTGATACGCAGGTGTGTGTTTGATACGCACGTGTGTGTTTGATACGCAGGTGTACGAAGGTGTGTGTTTGATTCGCAGGTGTGTGTTTGATACGCAGGTGTACGAAGGTGTGTGTTTGATACGCAGGTGTGTGTTTGATACGCAGGTGTGTGTTTGATACGCAGGTGTGTGTTTGATTCGCAGGTGTGTGTTTGTTACGCAGGTGTGTGTTTGATACGCAGGTGTACGCAGGTGTGTGTTTGATAC